TCAATCTACTTTCTGAACTATAGGAGCATCATCTGGAACAACAGAAGGTGTCTTTATATTCCTTGGCTTGTTGGCAGTGTTTGCTACCATTGGGGCATTTGTCCTTTACAAGTAAGTTGCTAGTTTCTATGATTGAAAACAGTTCAAAGAACTGTCAAAGTATTATTTAAATTAATGAACCGAACAATTTAGATTTGCTTTAGCTACATTTTTGTTTCTTTACTATTGCAGCTCACAAATATTCTGGCAAATATTCAAGAAAATGAGATTACTGGTTTAGGCCACAAAACCATTGAACAACATGCAGATGTTAAGGACTTTCAGAGAAAAAAAATAAAAAATGGGCACATTCTGTGCCCATAAGCACAAACAGTAATACTAGCAGGTCTGGGAACTTCATCTAAGCAGAAAGCAAACTCAAACTGCATGATGTGATTTATATATGCAGTGAAATCAAGCAAATTCTTCATTAATTGATCAATAAATTATTTGGGGGAAAAGGTGCTGAGCATGCAGGCCAGTAGTTGACAGAAGCACATGTTGCTGCATTATTATTTTGGAAGTTTGTCGTGAGACTTTGGAAGTTTCTCTTTTGAGACTGCACAAAGACCCCTGAGTCAAGTGTGTGCTCACCCTTCCCAGTGAGAAACACACACTTCCATGGAGCAGCAGTACTGCAGTACTCCTTTTCCCTAAGTAGGTCCCTGTCACCACTACTGACCTATGGCTGCCAGACACCAGATGTGACTGAACAGGGAAGGAGGAGAGAGAATGCATGATGAGCACATGATTAGTGCTTTTATACACTGGTCACATGCCAAATGTGCACCCTCCTTTAAAAGTCTTTCAGCAACTAACTGTTCCCATTCCTTGCAGGAGATACAAGCAATACAAGCCTATTGAGAGGAGTGCAGAGCAAACAGAGAAGCAGGAGGGATTTACTGCCTACTTCAGCACTTTCAAAGCCATTTTCTTCCCTAATAGCACTGAGAGAAATCCTCTGCTGAAGAGTAAACCAGGCATTGTTTAAACCTTTAGTGTAACACTGACTATTAGATTAAGTTCAGCACTTGTATCTGAGCTGTACTTTAATGGGGCTTTCTTGTTATAAAAAAAACCCCAGGGAGTAAGGTGAAAGCACATGTAGATGGGATGGTAACTTTTGGGGCTTGGTGCAATTAGCAACATTAAAGTAGTCTTTTGTAGAAAAACAAGGAGGTAGGTTTTAGCACTTGCTCTTTTTGCTTGTGATGTAGGATACACTCTTCTGAATTACTAATATTCCCCACCCCCTTATCTGGCTTTTCTTATTTCTAGGTTAGCAACCTGCAAAATTAATCACATCCATAATCTGGAAGGGGGAGGAAAAATAAAAGAGGTTAATTAAAAAAAAAAAAAAAAAGAAGACCAAAACAAAACCCCATCAACCAACCAACTTGTAAACACTTAGTTTTTATTGCTGCTTACTGCCTTAGCAGGATTCATGCCTTTGCTGTAAAGGGAGACATGGGGGGCAGGCACGTGTTATGTCTGTGGAATGAAACGTGCCATGGCCTATTCCCAGGCCCTGGCACTGAGCTGCTGCCACTGCTGCACTGTTCAGGAGGTCCTAGCACAGACTTGCCCCAGGCAGGCCAGCTCCCCACCGAGCAAACCCTAGATTCTGGGAAGCACCAGAGGCACAGCCCCCACTGTGAGTTTGGCAGCAGCCACCCTGTTTTTCAGGGTTCAATAGCATGGGTGCAGCTCATTAAATGCCAGCTGGCCTCAGGGCCAGAAAACAGGGCTGGACACACTTAGCTTCCCACTGGACATGGCCACCAGGGCATGAGTTTCACTATAAATTAGACCACAGACACACAAGCACCCATTGGCTTGGCTCTCCCTGTTCAAACTGAGTCCCATGTAAAATTCTGAGTTGCAGCTGCTGATGCTGCCTTTGCCTCCTTTGCTTCCATTGGTCTGGACTGGCACCACTGCTCCCAAGGGGACAGATATGATCTATGTCCAATGAAGGGTCAGCAGAAGAAGGGATCTAGCAGGAAGGGGTAGCATTCATCTGCCTTTTCCTCTTTTTTCATTTCTGTCCTTCCTGCTGTAAAGAGACATTAATTTCTGCTTGCTCCTCCATCCCTCTGACCACTAAATCAAATACCCCAAAAACCCCAAGATAACTAAAACGCTCTGCTCCAGTTTCTGCTTTTACATGACACACCTTAGAAAATGTAAACTTATGCAAAATCAGTGTGCCTTCACTTGTTCACTCGAGCTGCAATTCTGTTAAAAGAACTCATTCTGAAGCCTTCCACAAGTGATCTGGCCTCGCAGCCACACATGCTCATCACTCAGCATCATGGCATTTCACAGTGGGAGACCAGCACAAACTGCTGAAGGCTGGCTCACTGGATGATGAGGAAAGGAGAGCATCTTATTTGCAGAAAGGGAAGAGGTTGCTAAAAAGGTTCACAGAGATGAGCAAACAGACCAAAAATTCTTTATAGCTCATGTTTCAAAAAACTCCTTTGTTGTCAGCAAAGGTTATAGCCAAAATGGAGGCTGGCAAATGACCTTACACAATCCATTTCTAAACACTGAATTCTTTAAAGATCTGTATTTCAATATAATTAGCTTATTTGACATCTCTTGAAACAACTCTGATACATACTGTTTTCTGTTCCTGTGGCAATACGTAATCATAAACACACTTTCTCAGTGTTTTAGATATTCCAAATATTAATTATTTGTAATTTGAATCTAGTCTTCACTGCTCCTTCCCAGTGTGCACAGACACCTTTCATTGACTTAAGGATATTTTTAAAAAATGCAGATTCTAACATACCCGTGAGATTAATTCTTTAGCTCGAAAATTCAACAGCCCCTTTTCTTCTTTTGTTTCCAGGTTCTCCCATTATTTTAATTCTTTTGTGGCTATTTCAGTTATATTATTAAAAGCAGTATATTTGCTATTGTTCCTTCTTCCTCATACGTAACATCCTATTGTCTAAGAACTAGCATCTCAAATTCTTTTCTGACTTAAACAGGAAACACATTTTCTGCAAAAATTACTGTTTAAGTGTTGTGTCCTCTGTTATCAGTCAGGCAGGACCGTAATTTGTATTTGTTGCTCTAGCTTGAGGCAGGACAGGGGTTTAGTGGAAAGCTTAAGATCACCTGTAATGAAGCATGAAAACATAAAACCTGTCACAGCTTAGATCAGTGAAGATGCAGGCTACCACCTGGGCTACATACAGAAAACATCTTGTTTCTGCAAAATGCTGCATCTTAGATGCTCATCTTAAACTTTTGCATAGAAAATAGCTTTCAGGCATACCTTAAGAACTATTTTATACTTTAACCTAAATATTAGGAATATCTTGCACTATCTCCCTTTAAGTGCCATATCAGAATAGTACATTTTTATATGACCATTTTGCCTTTTCAGCTGTAATTTTTCATACATCTTTACTTTTATACAATGGAATTTAACTGCTGCACTGACAAATAAACCATGTAATGATTTTAAAGAGTTTGCTGCTTTGTCTCGGAATGCCAAACTGCAAGACAAGCAACTTGATGAGTTGCCCAATTATTGATCAAAAGAGTGTCTACCTCCACAAAACACAGGATCTGCCTTACCCTCAGCTCACACCTGGCTCTACCATGGGTTATCAAGCTGATTTTGCAGTCTCCCTTCAAGGGTACTCAGAGCAATGGCACCACAAACCTGAGAAGCAAGGAGACTTTCTTAACACCCAGATGACACAATTTCAGAGCAGATCAGGATACAAATGAGCTTCATGTCCTTCAAAGGCAAGAACAGCTGACAAACAACAGATTTGTGAATGTCAGCAAATGTTACAAGACAGGTTTCAGGCATTCCCTTTGGAGAAATAACATCAAGAATGACATCAAAGATAAATGTACATTGTCTTCATAGAAAGAACATCCTTTCAAACATGTCTTCAAGAGAAACAGAAACATCAGTTGGGTAGCAAGTTTGTTAAGAATTACTTTTAAAATTGAGCTGTTACTTCAAACCATTTGTTTTGTTCCTCCCGCCTTTTTTTCTTGAATATTTTTTATAGCACACAATTAAGGCTCATCAGATGTGGCTTTTTTTTCTTACCAAAAGTATTTTTAAGCTGAGACCAAGGCTAAAAAACACCAGCCTCTGAAGGAATTGTAGAGGAATGAAACAAAACTTTTCAAGAGCCATCCAGCCACTGTGGCTTATTAGTACAATCACTTCCAGCTTCATGCAGCATAGTCAAATCTTCTTTAATGATAAAGCTGATATCACTGCAGGTCTTTACAACTCACACAAAATTCCATAATCCCAGATTTGTTAGGTTGGAAGGGACCTCGGGAGACCATCTAGTCTAGACTCCCAGCCAAGGCAGGGTGACCTACAGTGAATTACACATGAGTGTGTCCAGGAATATCTCCAGAGAGGGAGACTCCACAACCTCCCTGAACACCCTCTTCTGCCATCCTCAATGCAAGGAAGTTCTTCCTCATGTTTAGATGAAACTTCTTGGTTTTAGTTTATGGTCACTGCTCTTTGCCCTGTTGCTGGGTACCACCAGAAGGAGTCTGGCACCATCCATGACTATGTCTTTGAAACTTAAAATCATTATTTGACCATCATACTTGGCGAGAGTGGGAATTCTGAATAGCAATTCTCTTAGTGTCCCTGTGAATGCCAGGATTTCCAGGGGAAGGAGACGGAGGGATATGTTTCACCCACATTAAATACAAATGCTAAAAGGTCATAATTTCTCAACCCTTGACAACTTTCTCCATAGCAAACCAAGCATAGCAAGACTGCCAACCTGTGCCCGTTAACACCATGCAGGAATTACACAAACAGAAAACACATTCCACAGGAAAATCATGTTAGTTTCAAAGAAGGTGCAGTTTTTTAGGCAAAACTGTGGCCTATAAAAGGGGGCAAAAGGCTTGAGTTGGGATATGTGGTTTGGGTGTATATGGAAGCGCCCATGTACTGTACCTGCCCCTTTCCAGCTGCCCATCAACCCCGCACAACACAGCGGTGTTTGCAGAGCAGGAATGATCCTCTCAAATCCAGACAGGCCAAATCATCTTTAGAAGTGATGCTTCTTCAGTTGTCTGGCCCACGTTCCCAAGCCGTGGTATGGAACAGCCACCCTCAGGATGCATCCCAAGTTAACCCGCATCTGTTTTCTGGCTCACAATCCCACAGGCCAGATGCGGCTGCAAACCCAACAGACCAGCTGCACCTGCCTGGGAAGACAAGCAACAGAACACGGGGAAATGGCTTCAAATTGAACGATAGGAGGTTTAGGTATTAGGAAAAATTTCTCTGTTGTGAGGCATGGGGGTGGTGAGGCATTGAAACAGGTTGCTCAGTGAGGTTGCCTCATCCCTGGGAAGTGCTCAAGCCCAGGCTGGATGGGGCCCTGAGCCACCGTCTAGCGGAAGGCATCCTTGCCCAAGGCAGGCAGGTCGGAACGGGATGATCTTTAAGCTCCTTCCCAACCGAAGCCCTTCCGTGGCCCGCCCAGCCCCGCAGCCAGCGGCCGCTCCGAGCGCAGGAGCCGCGGGCCCAGCGGGGCCGGCCCAGAGCGCCTCGGGGGCAGCGCCGCGCGCCNGGGGCGCTGGGGGCGGCGGAGCGGCGCCAGCCGGCAGGTAGGGCCCAGCCCGGGGCCGCGCCGCGGAGGCGCCCGGCGGGACCTTGAGCGGAGTGTGAGCCCCTGGAAGAAGGGGCAGGCGTGGAACCGCGGCTGCGGGGAATCCTCGCCGTGCCCGGTGCGGTGGGACCGGCCCGGACCGCGGGGTCGCTGGGCCGGCCCTGGCAGTGAGGAGCCGGGCGGGGAGCGGGAGCTGTGTGCGGTCCGTGTGCGCGGGCCCTGCCCGGCCGCGGGGAGTGCTGCGCTCGCAGCCGCCCCGGCGGCAGCAGCTGGTGACCGGCACGAGCCGCTCCGCAGAGCTCCTCCGGCCTGGGTCTGACCGCGCCGAGCCGTGCCTGGTGACTTCTAGGCCGTCCGTTCTCCAGGCAGGCTCGGGAGGCTTCTCAGGTGGCTGCCGGGCAAATGTTTGACTTCTGTAACCGCTGTGCCTGGAGTGTCTGTGGCCACTGCTAATTTTCAAGATGTGTGACCACAGCAAAAAGTTGAACGTGTGCCCTGAGCTGAAAGCCTTACATTTGCAGAGATCTGATCCAATTTCATATCCCCATTCATGCATATAATTGTAGCTATTGTTCCTTGGTTTGGCTTCTTTATATTGGGAAATATAAAGCTTGGCTTTGTGCTGGTGCTCAGTCTGCACTAATGTTCATTTTATAGTGGTAGACTAGCGCTGCTGACAGATTCAAATTATGCCTAAAGTGCGCATACAAGTTGTATCTACCTAATTAGGACAAATTAGAAATAAACTCATTTCATAGTGTGAACAGAACATACTTTCACTGATTTACTGTTTTGTAAGCTGGCTTCCTTAAATTGTTGAAGGACTGAAGCATTGTTTACAATATCATAGTGCTCTGCACCAGATCAGGCTAGGAAAAAGAAGAAAAAGTGGCTTTACTCTGCCTGCAGATGAAAAAATGTCTTCACTCTGCATCATGTCAGCTCCATTTTTAAAATATTGGTTTCTTCTGCTTAAGATTCTAGAACAGTTTAATCACAATGTATTATCACAGATTGTTGAAAGGCATAGTTCTGAAATATTTTCAATTTTGTCTGTTGTTTTAATAATGTCGAGTCTTTAGGTTTAATTCATTTGCATTTACAAGTGTGATGATATTATTGGCTTTTAAATGGCAAAACCAAGAAATAAGTAACTTAGCAAATACCAACGTTTCATTTGGGCAACTGTTACATCTAGTGATAGTGTTGTTCATTGGAAGAGTGCTTACTTCTCCGCTTTGGTGGCTGTAAAAATGATTTTGAAAAATCTGCAGTCATGTTGCATTGTCAGTATCAAGCCAAACTCACAGTGAGGCTATAGTTCAGTTAATTGTTAATTTATGGCTCTAAATGGTTTATTTTTGCAATTAAAAAGAAAATTTGCCGCTGTACTGTTTTTTTTTTCTATGTGCTCCAGATACTGCTCTTCCAAAGTTCAACATTGACTTGGCTGTAGCACTGCTGAGGCAAGAAAATGCTAAAGACATCTGTGTCATCCAGCTATCTCCAGAACTAAAATACTGTGATTATTTTATAATTGTGAGCGGATTTTCAACACGGCATCTCCATGCAATGGCAAATTACATGCTGAAAATGGTAAGACAGATCTTGCTGCTCTCTCTGAATTTTGGGAGTGGGTTTAAGTGTTGTGATGGGAATTTCCCCAGGATTGCATGTGTAGGGGTGTGCCAGGTAAGATGAAACTGGTGACATTATGTCATTTAGTCCTGAATACATCTAGGAAGTAACTGGTTTATTTCCTTTAGCAGTACTGCACAAAATATAGGTATTATGTTTTAGAAACAGCCCTCTCTGTGTGTAGAACCCTGAGGACATCACAGCTGGGTGACTAGAACGTGAATGATGTGAGATGGTGATGATGACCTCTGTCTGCCTTTATTTTTGTCCAGCAAGCACCTGGGAATACTCAGTCATTCAAAATAGCTTCATCTGGCTGTTCTCAAACCTTGATCTTAGAATTTCCACTTTCTTAGGTACCTTATGAGGCTGGAAGAAAGCTTGGCCTCTTAAGAGGCCCAGGATCCCCTCATGAGCTTTGAGCAAACTGGTCACCCTGCTGTGCATGTACTGCAGGAGAGGAGAAGCAGCAGCAGCCATCCCTGCCCAGAAATCCTCTGCTGTTTGGCTTTGGAAGAATGAGAGCTTTTCAGTACAGGAATGCAGGTCAGAGTGAAATTACCAGTTGAGCTTAGAGATGAGGGTGAAACTCAGGAGGGAGAAACTTTCTTGCCTGAGAAGATCCATGCAGCTGTTCAAAAGCACAGCGTGAGGAATGTGACCAGCCCCATCAGGCAGCTGTCTGTACTCAGCCTGGAGTTTGCCTCCTCACCACCTACTTTATTGCCCTTCCTGACCCCACTTTTCCTTTCACTCTTGGTTTTGCTTTCTTCCTTCCAATCCCATTGTTTCAGCTGTGAGACTCTTGGGGGAAAGGAGAGTGGGAGAGATGGTTTAGCTTTTCAGGGCCTTTCTGAGCAGGTATGGGGAGTTTCTTGTGTTCTCTGCAGGAACTGGCACATCTTTGCAAACCAAAATTTTGCCTTAAGCTGGAAGTTGCATTAATGTGATTTGAGTATGCTAAATCAAAGTGCTTAGTATGTACTCTATTGCTTGTATAACTTGCTAGTCTTAACAGTTTTTCATTTCCTCCAGACCAGGAGAGATCAGTGAGTACCATTTGCCCTGCAAAAACTTGGCTGGGCTTCATGGCTGCACCCTCTGGTGGCTGTAAAAACAGCAATTTTGCGAGGGCAGAGCCTCTTGGGAGGCATGGTGTCCTCCTGGGCATCCTGAGGAACTGGGAAGCCTGGTCAAGTACTTGGGGGTTCCTGAGTTTGTCTCACATTGGAAATTTTCTAGGTAAATAGTCACAGAAGCTTAAGATGTAAAGCAGAACAAGTGCTCCAGAGTGCTGCCAGGCAGGTGGCAAGCTTTACTACCATTCCTAAACCTTCATGATTTACTCTCAGTAAAACAAAGAGGTGCTCAGGTGTAGCAGGAGATCTTCTTCCTGTTCCACTTCCAGGAACTTGTGAATGGCAAAGGCCCACATCCCCATCTGGTTTCATGTCAGAGGAAGAAGCTAACACTTGGCTGTATTGTATCTGTTCACCTTACACAGCCTCTAAAGAGGAGGCTTGGAAACTTGTAGCAGGGATCAGCCTTTGAAACCTGATGATAGCTGATGGCAGTTCATACTGGGCTTTTTAGCATTTTGAGCAGACTGTTGGAGTCTTTTGAAGATACCTCACAAGCCATCTTAAAGAAAGGAAGGTAGAACTGGTTCTGAGTTAACATTTTAAAAGTTTTCCATGCTGGTTTGAAAGCTAGCATCATTACCCAGCAGCTAACATTGTGTGGAGCAACCAGGAACAGCTGCATTTTGTGGTAATTGCATTCCCAGTGAAGTGAGACTCATTTGCCAGCCAGCCATGCTGGTACATGATGTTTTGTGTTCTGTCTTCCTTGGCAGAATGGACTTTTGGAGCCATTTCTGTCCATACTCCTTGTAGAGGAACAAGTAGGTTATGGCCAGATCTGAAAGTGACCATACTTCAGCCTTGAGCTGTCAAATTTCTCCCGCTCTGGTGGGTGTTTGGCTTCTTCATGTTCTGGCTGGGGACAGCTGAGCCTCTCAAGCTGGCACCTACAAAAGGCACCACGTGCTGCACAGAGAACTGCCCACTTTCCCTGACTGCCCTTGTGCAGCCCTGCTTTGAGCTGCTCCTCCCCTCTCCCAGGCAGGAGTCTGTGTGCTGGTCCTGCTTCCCCCAGCATGCAGTGAGTGTTGGCTGTGTGCCCTCAAGGGGCAGGGGGCTGGTTTGAATGCCTTCTTCATGGCAGGGGATGAAACGTGGTTTTGCCCCACTCCCTTCCATCTGAGAAGAGAATAAGCTCAGCATCTCCATTTCTGCATCCTCAGCCTGCCAGTGTAAACCACCAGTGAAAGGAATCAGAAATGAAACCTGGTGGTGGTGGCAGCTATAGGGACCCAGTAATGGAAAGACTACTGTAAGCAGTTGTATTTAATATTCTTCTTGATAAAAGATACCTATAAAATTCTTGGACAACTGTATGGAAATCCAGAGCATTAGGATTTCAGATTTGAGAAATCTGTACCTATTTCCTTACACTGCAAGTGTATATTAACCTTTTTCTTTTGTGCAGACCCCAGGACCAACATGAAGCAATCTAACCCATTTAAGCTTTAAAACAACTCAGCAAAGTCAACCTTCTCTGTTAAGTTTGAGTGCTTTTTAAATAAATGTAAAAGACTTAATTTTCCTTTTTTTTTTTTTTTCAGTACAAGCATCTCAAAGAAGAAGGTGGTCCTCATACTCACATTGAAGGAAAACAGACAGATGACTGGCTGTGCATTGACTTTGGTAAATATTTGTGAATCTGAGAAGACAAAGTTCTGCATGAGCTCTTTGTTGACAGAAGCATCTCACCATGAACCTTGGTTGCTGTGGAAAGTTCACAGTTCTCTGCTGTTTGGGAGTTCCAATTGTTGCTTGAACTCACTGAAATAATAAATGATTTTCCATTAAATATCTTTGGCACTAAGAAAAAAAAACAGTAATTACTCTTCAGTGGCTAAAACAGGTCCTAATAAATTGAAGGTAACAATAGTGGGGGGAAGAAAGCTGCTTCAGTCAGTTTTCTCAGGTTTCTGTAATCTATGTTTGGGTAAATGGGAGCTCATTGTAGACTGCCTTACTAGTGAACTGTTGAACAGACTTTTCTCTGACCAGATCATGCTATCAGGGTAAAACCTCAGTCCTAAGAAATTGAGTTTAATTCTTGTATTCTACAAGTGTGAAACTCTACACAAGTACAAAAGACTACATTCAAAAAGCAGTTCTCCTTCACTGCTACTTTTAGAATCTCAGCCCCTGGCTTGGTGTTTTGACATAAACGATGAAAACTTCACTTACGGATGAGTGAGGAGCACTGCAGCCACTGATGTTAAGCCTTGGCTACTTAATGATAATAATTATTGATGGTAATAACTGAAAATTGATTGGAATTTAAGGGAATAACTACAGAGAAGTGCATTAGACAAACAGTGGAATTAACATTCTCTGCTGTTGTTTGCACAGGATTAATGAAATCAGAAGAACTTAGTACATCCAAGTTTGAACCTACTTCATTATAAAAACCACCTGAGGAGCTGAGCAGAAATTGATTGGAATTTAAGGGAATAACTACAGAGAAGTGCATTAGACAAACAGTGGAATTAACATTCTGTGCTGTTTGCACAGGATTAATGAAACCAGAAGAACTTAGTACATCAAAATTTGAACCTACTTCATTATAAAAACCACCTGAGAAGTGTGAGCAACACACCTAGGGAAAATTACTTGGCTTTAGCAGAATGCTGACAGTACAAGAAAGCTTAAAATCCATCTGTCACCTCGGGGAACTCTTCACAAAGTGAAATTCCTTTGTATTTCTTCTGTTTCGTAGAAGTCATAATGTCTTTGGTTTGGAATCTTGTGATAGTGTCCTATTTGAAAGTATTGTGTCTCATGTCTTGTTACTGTAGTCGTGGAGTTTTTTGAAAGACTGACCAATTCCTAACGCTGCTTGCGACCTGGAAGCAGCAGCTTAGGAAGGGACCTTTGTCAGCTGCCATGTTGTATCTAGCCAGAAAGGGGATGGAGGGCTTAAACTCTTTGCTCAGCTGGAGGTGTAGTAGTGCTTTACTGTTCCCATGAATTCATTGTGAATTTCTGTTCTGTGCAGGTAACATAGTGGTCCATTTCATGCTGCCAGAGACACGAGAAGTTTATGAACTGGAGAAGCTGTGGACTCTTGGTCCCTACGATGACCAGTTAGCACAGATGGCTCCACAGTCCCTGCCAAAGGACTTTATCTTTGGACTGACTCCTAACAGCAGTGATCATCTTGAGACAAGAACTTGAAGCAGCTACTGCATGGAAAGAGGACAAGTGTGCCTGAGTCATACAGTCTTGAGAACTGAGCAGTCAGTACAGTTGATCAGTACAAAACAGAGTTTTTATTGGATTTGCCCAGGTAGAATTCTGAGCAAGCTAAAGTGAGCAGAATCATGGAAACTTAAGATTGGATTGGGAAAAACCCTGAAGAGTCCAGCCATGAAATGTCAGAGAAGGAGTCCTGGCAGAGCTTCCCAGGGAAGCCATTGGCCTAGTGGAGTTTGCAGTGAGAAGAGCAGGGCAAAGACAGCTGCTTAAGCTGGAACTCATGCTCAGCCTCTAGAGTAATTGTTTTTCTAAATCTTTGAAAGACACCCTGTAGTGGTAGTGCAAAACAGACTGGAGTGCTGCAAGGAAAAACTGAAATAGTACAGTTGAGATGACGCTTCTTGTGTTGAGCCATTTGCTTCTGGTCACAATAAAGCAAGTCATGGTCTGAATTGGGGGCTGAAAACAGACTGGTGTTACTGAGAACATAAAAGCCAAGAGCAACAGTGACAAATAAATGTGCTTTGAGTTATCAGAACAGTAAATCAGTTTTCCAGCCAAGGCAAACCTGGTTTTAATAATAAAAAAGCCCCAAACTGAAGTGCTTCAATTACTTGTTTTCATGTGAGAGGATTCAGCTCATCCTGCATGTGCAGTTGACTCCTCTCCTGGCTTTCTTCTCACCTACTTTCTGAAAAGGGATACTGAGACAATACACCAAGGCAGTGAAAACCTTCAACTCTTTGAAGGGGGAAAAAAGTTCTATAGGAAGCCCTTGGTCACTGAGCATTATTTGCTGCTAATGGACTGTTCAGCAATTTCAGAAGTCACTGTTGAGTGGGTTCTTAGTGTGACTGATGCATGGTCTCATAACCAGTTAAAGAACTGCAAGGTGGTAACCAATTTGTGTAAGACAAGATGCTGTTCTATACTACAGGACAGGGGTTTCATCACTGGGTTAGGATCTCTGCCTCCTGGAAAAGTTTGCTCTGCCATGTATCAGAAAGCAGAAACAGGAGATCTTGAGGGTAATCATCTTTTTCTCCCCAAAGCCCCACAAATTACTGCAAGCCCTGTCTGCATCTGTGCCCTGCCCACAGCTTCTGTAATGCTCAAAGTGAGCCTGGTTTTCATGCCTGTAGCTGAGTTGTTCAGGAGGAAGTGTGTTTGTTTAAAAGAATCCAAACAAGCCAAAACCCACTTCTCCCTCTATTTCAGGTCATGTTTTCTTGCTGTGTCTACCCTCTGTTTTTAATGAATCATTGCCTCCAAGTTCACCTGCTCTTTGATACCAGGCAGCAGATAGTTCTGTGATTAAGGGTATTTGTTAAGTGTAGTTAAACCATGCAGATAAAACATCTTTGCCCACAGAAAATATGTTGTTGGGAAATCTAACTGCAGAGAAAGGTTTTCAAAATGCTTCATGACACTTCTTGAAAGTAATCACATGGGAGAAAGATAACCTTGGCTGTCTTACAGCCTGATGGGTTCTAAATCAGGCATTTCCTCCTAGGAGTGATGCGTAGGAGTAACTTCAACTCATTCCCTTTCACTGCTGCTGTGGATATGTGATGAATAGAGGTAGGTTCAGCAAACATTACACCATTATGTGAGGCCACATTTAGTAACTAGAACCACATACAGTATCCTGTCTGAAAGAGCAGTAAAAAAAGGAGTACCCAGAAAAGAGCAGCTCTGTGAACAGGCTAGGACTCTTAGAGGTGAAAAGGGTTACTCCTCTCTAAGACAAGACAAAAAAAAAAAAAAAAACAGAGGAGAAAAAACCCAGTAAAATAAACAAATACAGTTGACTTAACTGGCAAAGTGTAATGTGAAAAGGAGTTCTATGAACATCCACTGGTTGCTATTAAACAATCAGAATGCCAGCCCAGGGAAAGAACTTGATCCTCATACATTTAAAAGAAGCATTTCTAATCTCTGGTGAGCTACTGCAGTGCCCCAGCCACGTTACCTGCCAGCCTTGCTGGGACTATGGCCTGATAGTCCTAGAAGCTGGGAGGTAGGAATTAACCCAGGCTGGATGACCAGTACTGTGCAACACTAAAGCCCTTTTGGAAAGAAAACATTTGGGAATGATTTGGATAAATCAGGTGATTTCTGGGTAAAATAAAAATACCAAACAGTTTGTGCAAGGAGTCTGTAGAGTCAGCATTCAGTCCTTCCAGACAGGTACTCGTAGGTTTGGCTCTGTGAAGGATCCCTTGCTGAGATGAATGGGAGAAACAATTGAGACTGTAGTCATCATTTCTCTGATTTCCTGCACTGCATCTGAGTAACTTCATTTTCAAGCAGTGTTTATGCCCATCACTTGAACAAACATCTGTCAGAGCCCAGCTTGAGTGCTTTCTCAACAGTTTTTATGTTTGTCTAAGAATCCTGCGCCTCACCCATATGAAGCCCAGGCTGTCTTGCCCAGCACACATGCTCTGTTTAATGGAAAAGAGCGCATGCCTTGGAAATTGCAGCTTAAGAATAAAAGCTCTGGAAGGTTAGAAGCAAATAAAAGTGTTATGATAAAGCAAATGCTTAAAACAGTCAGGAGCTGAGCTGTCACAAATGTACCAGCAGTACAGAGCAAGGCTTGACTTTATGCTGCTCAAATGACAGGGTGCTGTTTCTGAAAGTTTGATATTGACATGGAGAAATGAGCTTAGTGTGCCCTGTGAAATGCAATACTCTATGCAGTGCCTTCTACAGATGTAATATCTTCAATTCCCTCTTTCTACTGGTTGGTCCCAGGAACTGAGCTGTGAAGTAGGAAGGCAAATGAGTTTGGAAAACAAGGTGGGCATCCCAGTTCTCTTTGAAAACAAAGAATTGTGTAATTAATAATGCTCCTTCATTCCCTAACACATCCCTCTCACATGTAGGCATTCAGTTAAATATCTGGTCTCATTTTACTCCAAATAATGTTAAAAAGGATCTAAATGGAGAGGTAATACCACCTCAATGGCAAGTGGTGTATTTGGGTGGTCATGGTAGGGGTGAGAGGTGTGAACATTTGTGCGGCTGGTTCTGCCTTCTAGGGCCACAGTGATGACAGAGCTTCATCACTCCACCACAGTAAAGACTGGGTAAAAAAAAGCTTCCCTCTCCCCTGCCGCCCCACCACCCCCCCCCCAAAAAAAAATTACTGCATTTCTAATCTCGTGTTTGTCCTGACAGTCAGTACTGTCAAGTCCACATTCCTTCCACAGCAAATGAGCCTAAGTGAGTGGTGCAAGGCAAACCATGAACTGTGGGTTGTCCTACTGACTATATGGCATTGTTAGATGGGAGGAAGAAGATTAATTACAAGCCACAGGAGTCACAGCTTGTTTTGGGAAGTGCAAACATTGTAACATGGCTGTCCTAGGAGCTGTGGAATACCTGTAGGTTACTGCTCATCTTTCTCCAGTTATTACAGACAGAAAACCAACTTGATCAAAGCAGCACAAGTACTCAGGACAGTCTGTCCCTATGCCTCAATAATTTAAAAAAACACCACACAACTTTATCTGATGATAGGAGTTAAACTCTTTATTCCATTCAGAGGCATCTGGCAAGTAGAGCTGCATTGGGGGGCACATTACAGATGAAAAATGATCCATACTTTCTGGATATTGAAATCATTTACAGTATTTACTTTCTAGCTATTCCCAAATACTCCAAATTACCAAGTCTCAATTGAAAAGAAAAACATGAGATACCATATTAAGTCTAGAAATTTAAGAAAGATGACAGTATTTAAATCAGCAGATGTAAATGCAGCGCCTATCTGTAAAGTAATTTTTAATGGAAAATAATGAAGTCAAATCCTTCTCAAATGTTAAGAAAGGAACGTCCGACTGACTTAAGCCTCAACAAAAATTAAAATGCTATGTACTTTCCATACTTCAGAAATTTTAAATTCATTGTAAGAAAAAAAATTATCCTAAAGGCTAGATGAAGGTCACTGTCAAAAAAGGAAAAGAAACTCATTTTCTTTGCTAAAACTACAACATAAGTTTGTGGTTTTTAAACCAATTAGTAAAGAAGAGATGCAGGAAAAACACTTCAGACCATTTTCAAAATTATCTAATCTGTACAACAATGATCTTTGGGAAAATTATCTAGTCTATGTAGTAATGCCTCTATTTCAACATGAACCTAAGAGGTAGATAACAAAATGATGAAACAAATGTTTTTGCTCGCTGTGCCCCTCAAATCAGTGCAGCATGGTGATTCTGATCATCTCATGCACAAAAAACATCACAAAAAAAGGTTCAGAGGTAATAGCATGGCTCTGTCGACCACACACACACAGGCGCGCACGCGCACACACACACACAGCAGTCTTTATGCACCATGTGTTGCCACATTTTTTTTTCTTAAACTGAGGTAGACTGAAGTTTATTGTAGAAACTTGAATGTGTCACTATTACCACAATCATCATTCAAATTACATTTGGAAATTTTTAAATTTGGTAACTTTCCTGTTATCCCTGCCTTTTGACATTTTTTTTGTTCTCCTCTAATGGTTGGTTGCAGAACGTGCATAAATCCTGCTGCATCTATTATAAGCCAGGCTAGAGAGGTTGTTGTTTTGTTTGTTTTTTTTTTCTTGTAATCATTTTCAAAACCTTCAAAGTGGCTTAGTGTGGCCCATAACAGCGGCTGGATATGTAAACTTAGCCTTTCATTATCTTTCAATGTGATCAAACACTGTTTGACCTTCCCCCATCGTGGTAACTGAAAGCAGTATGATGTGATCTGCAGACAGCAGAGACCCTCCTGGCCTCAAAAATGCTCCAGCAGATCAAGTGTTCTATCAAACTGAAGATGAAGCTTGCTCTTTGAACAAAATGGCAAAGTCCAAATGGGCTGCAAATGGTTAAATGTAGCATTATTAGGTAGTGATGGTCAAAGGCACAAAGGGTTCATGCATTCAATCAAGTAGCACAAAAAAAAAAATTCAGCCTCTTGCAGCCTTCTAAATTTTTCCCCCAACCCCAGCCTCTTGCCATCACTTCCTTGTCCTGTTCCCAAAAAAGTACCGTCACAAACTTTTTCATCCCATCTTAAAAGAAAACTAAACGGCATTGCTGCTATCAGAATGTTGGCATCATTCACTATCTTTTGAACATTCATTGAATTTTTTTTTAAACAAATGATGGTGTTGAAGCCCTCAGGAAATCTGAGGCTGTGTTTTTTTTACCCACCTTACTCCCATCAGCCAGCAGCTAGAAGTGCTCTACTATATTTTTCCCCGATAAGTCTGTAGTACTCCTGGCTGGTGGCTGATCAAATTTTAATTTTTTTTAAAAAAATAAAATGCTCAAGAACTATTAGCTTTATAAAGTATACAAAATACCAAAAAAAAAAAGCAAAAAAGGAACAATTTCTCATTGAGGTACTAAATGCCTGAGGTAGTTTAGTAAAATGCATATTTATCTTTTTATGCCCTGGCCAACACCATTCAACACTTCCCTTAGGTTATTCATGGCAGTGTTATGTAAAAATGCAACCAAATTCTTTTTAAAAAATGCCACTTGTTTCAACATTGGGACTAACACTTAAACTCTTATCAATACCCTTGCTCTAACCCTAGCCCACCCGCAA